TAATAAACGCTCTCAGACAGTAAGGTAATACGTAATAAGGTAATGATAAGAAGATGAGGTAATAATTGCTCAGTATTGTGGTTAAAGATATGTGTACTTGTAGCAGGTAGCGGATAAGGGTAGTCTTATTTGCAATAAAAGTTTGCAATGGCTGCTGGATTCCTAAGGCAAATACGTTTATATCTAAACTCTCAAGTGATCTATTTGCAGAGAGAAATATCTCTTTAGTTCCCAAGAAAAGATATTGGTATGTGGTTTTGCTGTGAATTGTTACGTCTACTCACTGAGAGAAGACATAACATGTTACAAGTTCTGTGCATATTTAAAATCTTTAATTTTCTGTTGCTGTCTGAAGACTTACAAGATATGAAGGAGTCATTCATGTACATTGCATGAAAAGAAGATGTAAAGGTGTTTTCCAGAGACTTCACCAGTTACTTTTGCATAGCTATATGGAAAGTATCGTTTTGTACTGCATTTCTTATTTACAGGATCGACCAGCCATGGCACTATATAGGCCTGGGCAATCGCGATTGAGCTCAGGCCACTCAAGATCTGAGAAGGAGGATGGAGGCGACACTTGTTCTTCTAGTCCAAGCCCAGTCATGCTGCAAGGAGATTCAAATGTGTTCTTTGGCCAAGGAAGCAAGGACGTACCTGAGGAGCCAAGAATACAAGAGGATTTGAATGTGGTGAAGAATGAGGTCAATGGGGAGTCAAATTCTTAATGTCCTGGTATTTTGTAGGACGGTAGTGATTTGCATTGGTGTAGCATCCTGGGCATCATGTATTGAGTTCAAGAGTAGGCTCTTTTCAGTGTACTTCAAGTAATTTGTGGTGAATAGATACATTGGTTCAACGGTAGCACATTTTTGTTGTATTGTTTTAAATCTCATATTTGTGCAATTTCTATCATTCTTTAGGCTTTGTCTATTTTGGAATAGCTATTTGAATATTTTATCCTTGAGAGAAAGTGAGAGAATCCAGACTGGGATATTGCAGTTACAGGAAACTGATTACTAAATGGGCCGAGAGACTCGAAAGTCAAAATTTATATTCCACTACATTTACTTAGAGTGACTTTTACTGTATAACAGTAGAAGAAAGTATTTGGTTTGGTGTCGGAAGGTAATGTGTGTGAATTAGTATTCCATGAAGTGAAAGTAACAAGAACATTTTTAGTCTTGTTATTATTTATGGTATTTAACAAGGTGTACAATGGCATTCAACATGTAATTTATTGGTCAGTTGAGGCAAAAGATTTGTCCAACAGTGATGTATTTTAAACAGCTTATATTGACGGAGTTACTTTGTAATAAGTGACGTAATCGTTAGTGGTTAATATTTATTTTGTTTTATATTTAACCTAATTGATATTATTCATTGCTTGAATGTAGTTCTGATAGTTCAGAAAATCTGGGTATCACCACCCGGGCAAAGCACAGAAACTTTCTAGCTCAAAAAATGCATTTTCCTTCATGACTTTTGTCTTGGCCTCGGGAAAGACACGTTTGTTTGGCGCGTAGTAAAGGAAACAAGATTTTGTTATTTTATGCATTGTAACATAATTGCCTTTCACACAGTGTATTGCCATAGCCGTGTTTATGAAAACTGCACTTCCTGTTTTGAGATCATGGTTATTTTATCTATTTATATATTTTTAAAAATTTATTTACTTTTTTGCCATTCTTGACACTATCTATACATTTCTCCATTTGGTAAGGGTGGACCATATAAAGAAGAAAAGGAAGAAGTAGATGAAGAAAGGGAAGAAGAGGAAGAAGGAGAGGAAGGAGAGGAAGAAGAAGAAGAAGAAGAAGAAGAAGAAGAAGAAGAAGAAGAAGAAGAAGAAGGAGAAAAGAAAAATAATTCAAAGGTGAAGAAGAGGAAGAGAAACAAGAAACAAAAATCTTAATTAGGTACAAAAAAGAAAAGAAAAGAAAGAAAGAAAAAAATTGCAGTTATTCCTTTGTTGCGAACGTAATGTAAGAGAATACCAACAGTCCATGATTAATTCACGTCAGTCTGAGTGGAAAGTCTCTGTCCAAATGCAGTGTAAGTAGCGATGGAAAATAATGTGTAATAAGGCATTAGATTTTCTGTTGTGGTGTAAGCTGATGGTGTTTTTTTTAATTGGTTTTTGATTGCTCCTTTTTTTTTTTTTTTTATTTTTATTTATTTATTTATTTTTTATTATTTTTTCTTTTCTTTCTTCTTTCTTTTTTTTTTCTTCTCTTTATTCTTTTTTTCTCTTTCTTTTTTCTTTCTTGTTTCTCCATTCTTTTTTATATGATTGTTTTTGTTTTTTTTGCAGCAATGTACTATTCCAATAGATTTTATCTTGAACAAAATTGGATTTGTCAACTTCAATTTTCTTTATTCTCTCTCTCTTTCTTGTTTATGCTATAAATAGAGCACAAACTCAGATCGATTTGTACTCTATACTTCCCATATAAAGGTTTAAAGTGTCTTCTTTATACAATTAGTAATATAATGGTTGCTGTGGCAGAAATGTTATGTTGCGTCTCATTCTTATTTATCTCTTAATATCTTAAGTTTTATGATGATTATCAGTATGTTATTATATATAATTACAATGTTTATGTTTTGTCACATTTCATACCATTTGTCTCAAGTTTTAAGCAGTATTAGGTGCATAGAAAGAGTACCATTTTATTAAATTCTCGTCTGTTTTATATTTAAAAACATACATTCAAATATAGGTTATGTCTGTTTGTAAGTTTTTTTTTATTCATAGATTTTGCTGATTGAGTGGTGGCCATTTATACTGGTCTCTACTGATATTAAAAATATTTTAGATAACTAGACTGCGACTTTTTTTTTTTTTTTTTTTTTGAAAGGTGAAGCACATGGTCAAGGAATGCAGCAGAATAGAGTAAAATATACGAGAAACAGAGATGAATGTTAGGACCTAGTCATGAAAGTAACCTCTTAGAAAAGGCACAAAGCAGAATGGTGAATGACTCCGCAAAGCCAGGGACATGTTCCTATGCTACATGCAAAATTAAATACTGAAGCAAGAATATATATATATATATATATATATATATATTATATATATATATATATATATATATATATATATATATATATATATATATATATATATATATATATATATATATATATATATATATATATTATATATATATATATTATATCTACCTATATCTATCTATTTTTCTATCTATCTATCTATCTTTCTATCTTTTTATCTTTCTACCTATCTAGCTATCTATCTATCTATGTATATAATATATATATATATATATATATATATATATATATATTATATATATATATATATATATATATATATATATATATATATATATGTATATATAGTATGTGTATATACATATATATGAATAAATGTATACATAATATATATATATATATATATATATATATATATATATATATATATATATATATATATATATATATTATATATATATATGTATTTATGTATACATTTATTTATTCATCCTTCCAGAGTTAAGAAATCGTGTCGCCTGTGACGCTTTCCCATTTTTCTTTATGAGTCAATTGTATAGTTATTCTTTCTCCTATATACCTTTTTTTGCACTTATCATAATGAATTCTGCTTATTCTTGAATTTATTTTAGTTCATCTCTTTGGATTTGAAATTGTGTTTGATGCATTAATGTCAGTTGTGGAATGTTTTATTTATTTATTTATTTGTTCAGAGTATGTTGATTTTTAAAATCCAGTTGTCTGCAGATATAGTAGGATTTTTTGTTGTTGTAGGGGAAATAGATTGATAATATTTATTGATATTACTATTAATAGATGAGTTATATATATTTTAACCAGTTTTATGCATATTTTCAATATTTTGATATCAAAGCCTTTTACCTAAGAGCAGGGGTTCTTAACCTGGGGTCCATGAGGATCAGATCAAGATTAACATTTATATTTGCAGTACTTTTTGGATAAAAAGGATTTTTTCTTCTACTTTTTTTTTTCTTTTTGATTGTTTACTTTAAAGGTTGATTGTATTTTGTGTATTTCATATAAGTATGAGAAACAAATGTCAATAAAGTACATTATACAACTTGCATGCAGACTTGTCTTGATGTGAATACTTCTGGGGAAAGGGGTCCATAGTGTTCTTCAAATTCTTAAAGGGGTCCGTGACTCTAAAAACGGTATGTACCTCTGCTCTAGAGCGTTGCAGAATGGTAATCGGGATGAGTTTCAGAGCCCCTCTCTACCCCTGGTTATGTGGGCCGTATTGTAGAATATAGATTAAAACGAATGTTTTTTTTATGCCATGTCCATTTATGACACGTGTGGACAAATGACCGTTCCAGATTGTTGATTTATATTAATGTACATATCCTGTGCAGCTTTTATATGTTTTATGTATGATGGTAAAAGAATTTTAATGTTCAGCTTCATAGGAGCTGCTGTTCTGTGCGTTTTCTTGTTATACTTTGTTTATATTGTCGTTTTCATAGGTATGAGTTCCGTCAGTGTGATATTTTGTTGTTTTTTCTGTTTATACTTTATTAATCTTTATTTTTTTTCTTTGTGTGTGGACGTATTTTACTTGCTTGCTCATATGTAAAGTAGAGGTACTTTTCTCTTAGTACTTCCATAATGTCTGTGATTGATAGAAAAATATGTTTTTTGTTCACTTTTGGTTTTGAAGCCTGTTTGCTTAAAAAAATATAATAAATGAAAAAAAAGGAAAAATATGTACATGTTTGTCACAAAATTGGTCTTGTGTAACTTCTGACACAACCAATAAAAACTTTAAAGATTGCGGAATTTCTCTTCAAAACCTTTCATTTGCATTAAAGTTCTTTATTTAATATAAATTTTATAAACAACATTTTGCTTTCCCCTTTTTTTTTTTTTTTTTTTTTTTTTTTGCAGAGTCATACACCTGTAATCTCACAATTATTTGTGTGTAGTATTTTGCAAACATATCATTACCTTTGGAATTTGATTTGGTGACTAATATCAATATTTACAAATTCCTTTTTATGTAGATATTTTTTTATGCATCTAAGTGCTCTCCAGGTAGATCAACATTATTTTATAGAATAAAATTTTGACTTTCTACAAATGAGCTGAAGATAAAAGGATATGATAGTAATAGAATAAACTACTAAATTTTGTATTAATGCTCATGTTTGTCTTCAAAATATAACATGAAAAAACAATGTGATACTAAAGATTAGATAACGGGTGGATATCCATATATAGGACTGTTGTACAGTTTCTATCTTCTTGAGAACAGGCATTTTAATTTGCTTTTTTATATATCTTTTTAATTCTGGCCAACTGTTTATTTCATGGTTTCTGAACTCAAATATCAGCTTTATATGTTCAAGGAAACATCAATGTTATAACAAAACTTTAATATATTCTTAAAACAATAACAATGTAACATGTACAGAAAATAAGTAAGTCACTAATATGTCTATTTTCTAGTGTGTAAATGTAGTAATTACAATAATGTTTCATTCTGACATATTCTGTTTTTCTTCAATATTGCACTACCATGAATATAACATAATATTTACTGTTGGAAAGTACCTTAACAGTATTAAAGCTCCATCAAAGTTAACTTCAGTACTGTGGGACAGTTTTGCAGTTGAAAATAAATAATGGATTTGTCTCTACCTCTCTTATATTAAGACTTATATAGTATGGCTAAAACTACAGGTGACTGCACATCCCTTAAACCTGTCTAATGATGTCTAGAGGTAGGAGGAGATCTCTCGCTGCGAGATGTTGCTGACACACGGGGATCTGTGTGACTGTGGCTATTGTACCAATAATAAGGTGTGGTTGCAGTGGGCCCAGACTGTGTAACTGTATTCCCTAGGTTCTTAGCCGAGTCAGTGACTGGCGTCTCTGAAGTGTCTGAACCCACTCTGCTGTACACATAGTTTACTACACTAGGACTGAATAGATAGTTGTCTGGAATCCACGTGTTTTTGATTGGGAGGGGCGTGGATGGATTTCGGTTGGAGGTCCATACCCAGCGTTCCGTTTCACTGTCTTTCCCGTACTCGGTGTGTTTAGGCCTATTCTGGGCATAGGTGCTACCTGCATAATGGCTTCCTCCTTGACTAACAGATCCAGGAGCAAAATTATTGGTAGTATAAGTTAGAGGCCTGTTTTTGATATATTCGTGTTCTCTACCTCTAATAGGTACACTGCTGAAACGATTCCTCCATACCCATTTCTCCCTTTCCTCATCGTTCTGTGTTTGACCCTGAGATTCGGAGTATGTGCCCGGATTTTGCTGTTGACTGGGATTATCATAAAGTGAACTTGGTCTCGTATATTGTCCTTGGCCGGGAGTTGTAATGGCTCCCACACTTGGTTGGTTGTTATAGTTTCCATATCCAAAGTTTGCTGGTCGAGTTGGACCTCCCAGAAATGAAGCTAAACTAGGTTGCTTGCTGAAACCCTTTACTGAAGTAGGCCTGGAGGTCTGAGTCTGAAATGGTAGACCGAATGTTGGTCTCCATATTCCTGGCTTGGGTGTTGGTCCTCCCTGCACCTTCAAGGTAGATGGAACTTTCTTTGTAGTTATTGGAGAGTTTGTTGGTTTAACAATAGGTACGAAGACCGTCTTTGTTGTTGTTTCTGTGACTTTTAGTACAGCTGGGGTTGGGGAGAGTACGTTTGTGGTTAACTGATTTTGAACACCAAAACCTGTGAATCCTACTGAAGGAAGTGGAAGAACTGGTGTTCCACCTGCTTGGGCTGACAGTTTATCTCTAGTATCGATTTCTTTCCTTATTGCATCAAGTTGATCTTGGAATAAGGATATAAAATCCTGCTTTTTGTCTTTACCACTGTCTTCTATGGAGGCCAGTTCCACCGAACTGTCTAACAATATAATTGGTTCCTCAGAAGATGAAAAATCAACTGATAATTCTGCATTGTGGGTCAAATCTCCGGTATCATTACAACCGTTGTCCCCTTGTGTTCCCTTTGCTGAAGTTGGGGCACCAGTATTCTCGTCAGACTCACCCAAGAGAAGTACCTCCACGGGAGTCTGTGAGGAAATATCTGATGGTTCAACCCTTCCAGGAATGTTCAATAATGGCACTGTATCTTCCGCTGCAGACTCATTGATAAGTATGTCAGTGTCGTTGGATAGAAAATCTAATAAAGTATCGTTTCCTTGTCTAAACGAGACATCTGCTTCTTCTGTCTGTGAATTCAAGACATCAGTGCTGCTGTCCTGTGTGGCTGTCTGCACCCGATCATTACTAATTTCTGTGATATTTTGAGCACTATTTTGCAACAGATCATCAATATTTTCTGCAACGGACTGAGGGTTGTCCTGTATCTGATCGTCAGTATTTTCTCCTGTGGTAATCTGAGTATTGTTCTGCAACGGATCATTAATATTTCCTTCTGAATTGGATTGTGTATTATTAATCTCTCCAAGGGTGACCGTAAAGCCAAAAGCACCTTCAGGAAGCTCTAGAAATGGAAGCTGAGACGCAAGGTTTGGTCTCTGGTTCACGTCATCTTTTGTATCAATTTGCTCATCTGTGATATTCAGCGGCACCCCTGTATCAAGAGACGTGGCATCATTTATTTGAACCCCTGACGATTCCTGTCTTTCTGCCTGATCGTTCGTGAAAGGGACACCTGCAGTCGGATTAGTACCTGCTGCTTGTCTTGTCCCATTGTCATTTCCCGTGCTCTGTAGTTGGGTGTCCTCGGAGGCCTGTTGGCTTTCATCACCTGTGACCTGTTGGTTGGCATTAGGATTTCCATTCTGCGTAGGGACTTGGGGAAAAGCTAAATTGCCACTTGGAGGTTGTTCGACTTCTTCAATACCTTGTATGTCCGTGTTTGTTTGGCTTTCACCACTAAACCCTTGTAAGTTTTGGTCTTGTTGGCCCTCACCTCCAAACACAATATTTTGGTTCCCTGGTGTACCCACATTGAGGATGGCATCAGTCACATCAGGCACAACAGTAGTGATGTCGTTACTAAATGAAGGAACAGCATTATCATTGCTAAATGAAGCATCATCGTTACTAAATGAAGGAACAGCATTATCATTGCTGTCTGGGAAAATGAGATCTGGAGGTAGAGACACTGTTGTAGTATCGAACACAGGGACAGACGGTGTAGTTTCGAAAGCAGGTGAAAACTCTGTTATCGTTTCGAAAACAGGCGAAGACACTGTTGTAGTTTCGAAAACAGGTGAGGACATTGTTGTAGTTTCGAAAACTGGCACAGTTGTTGTGGTTTCGAGAACGCCACTCGCATTATCGTTTGAAATATTTCCATCATTCTCACCATTAGAAATAGGATTCTCAGTGGGAATGGCATTGAAAGGACCTTCCCTGGTGAGATCAGTACCTCCCACGTCAAAGGAAGCTATAATAGGGTCTTCGGTAACGGGAATGCTGTAAGTTGGAGTAAAGTTATTATCTTCTGGTATGAAATTATTCTTTTTATATATGAAACTGCTGTCTATCGGCGTGGTAACACTAAGTTCAGTGGTAAATGCATTGCCAGGAGTGAATACATTGCCTTGAGATGTGAAAATGTTGCTTTCTGGTGTGAATCTGCTAGCAAGAGAAGTAAAAATATTACTCTCAGGTGTAACCCGCTTCGTCTGGGATGTGAAAATATTGTCATCAGGCGTCAAACCGTTACTGTCTGACTGAATTCCTGAAGTAGGCGCCGCAGTAAAAACAAGAATGTCCACGGGGACGTTCGTGAACCGAGGATCATCAACTCCAGCTGAAGTACCGGTACCAAGAGCGTCTAATCCACTGGCAGAATTACCATCAGCGCTCTCGGAAAAGCTACTCCTGTTGGTATTAGCCTCAGAACCAATAGGGGTAATGGAGGACGAACTGACCGGTACCTCGGTCACGGAAGGTAAGGGTATTCCGCCTGGAGCGATATCCCCTGTAGTGTAATCGTAATCTAGTGGAATATTCCCTGAAGGACCTGGTCCACCCTCTCCTACCTCGCCACCAATAATTGCATCGAGTATTCCCTGGTCATAGCGTACATTTTCACCATCAGGGACATCCGAGTTGAAGCCAAAGTCCTCCCTGTTTCGGGAAAGGACTGTTTCTAAAGTATCTAAAATGGATGTATTTGCTCCTTGACCTGTGGTAGGAAAATCAGGACGTTGAGTAGCAGCTTGTGTGAGATCGGCTTCTCCATTAACTCTTAGTCCACCGAAGTCGGCATCTAGGCTACCAAAAGTATCTCCGGGACCTGTTTCAGTATTGTCGTCAACAACCAGAGGATTTATCGTAGGTAACCCCGTAGAATTGTTAATGCTTTCCAACTGCACATCGTAATCAGGGTAAACTGAATCAAAAGTTGTGTCTGAAGCATAATCCTGGTTACCACCGTTGATGTAATCGGGAACGGAACTGTCTTGGTAGTCGTAACTCACTCCTCCCACTTCATCATAGGCGTAATCAGGTGTGGAAGTGGGTTCTGTTGTAGATGTACCTTCCTCAGCCAACTCTGGGACAGCAGGTGCTCGATTTCCTATGTTATCTGCAGGTGTTGTATCCTGTGGCGTTTGGTTTGGGCTGTAGGCATTTCCGTCTTGCCCAGGTACACCAGTGGGGAAGTTGGCCAAGGCAAAATCGTAGGGATTTGCACCAAGGTTAAATTGTGGGTATTGTCCTTGATAAAAGTACCCGTATTGTTCTGGACTTCTTACTCCAGCGATGGTAGGGCGTGGTGAATTGCTATTGGGTGCTGGGTAACTACCAGTTGCTAAGGGGTTGAAGAACACCTGAGGGTCCTGGGCTGTGGGGAAATACTTTGCATAATACTCAGCTAGTGTTAGGCCTTGTAAATCTTCAGGAAGGAGTGTAGGTGGGGATGCCACACCTAACGTATTGCTCTCCGCCAGTGGGAAATCCTCATAGTCTTCGTCAACCAGATTGGAGGAATTCGTCTGAGCATCGTCTATCTTTTTTTCTGTTCTCTCTCCCGAATCACCTTTTCGCGGTTCACGGAGACCAAAACCTCCAGAGTAGGGTGCCAGCCAATTCAAGGTTGCTGGGTCTGTGGAGAGCCCATAAAAGGCACCTCTTACTGGATGCTCAAGTGGGTCCTCCGTTTCGCCCGACGAAGGAACGGGTCCAATCCTCTCCTCTGCAGGATCTATGGTAGGGGCTCGACGACGGACAGCGCTGTGTGGTTTTATTGTCCTGTCAGCTCTAAGTTCTTCAGCAAAGTCCAAGAATTCCCTCCCTTGTGTAAAGATGTCTGCTGTAGTTTCAGCTGATGGTCTAGTGTCAGTGGGGAACTTTAATTCAGTTGGCCGGGGAATGAGGATAATATACTCCCCGTCGTCAGGTAGAATTGGACTCTTGTTAGAGAAGAGAAGAAGGAATTCTTCTGCACCAACTCGACTGCCACCCGAGTATTCCTTTTCATTCTCATTCTTACCGTTATTGTTTTTGTCTTCCTCGGAATCTTGGGGCTGCTTTGGCGACTTCTCCATCATTGCTTGTAGAGAGGCAATAAGGTGCGGCATCTTGGCATTCGTCCCTGTTCCCTTGAGTGCGTTTGGTGAGGAATTTTCATCTGTTTCACTAACGGACTTTGGAGTTGGGAGTCTGGTGACCGACTGCTTGTGCTGTCTGATAAGTGGAGGTGAGGAATAGTTGCCGACATCGTGTTTTGTAAGTATGAAGTACGAAGGGTTAATTGTATCGCGAATTGCTTCCGCCAGGTTTGCAAAGAGTCTTGTTGAATTAAGGAGAGAGGGATCTAAAGGATAACTCCTGGTTGTGGTGTCTTGGCGGGGTCCGAGGTTCTTTAGATTGTGCAAGTCCTGCAACACCTTGCTGTCCACCACCAATCCGGAACCTACAGCGAAATCGTTTGTGCCTCTAGTAGTTGTAGGATTCAAAGTAGATGTTTCTCCATTACTGAGTCCAAAGAAATTCATGAAATCATTAAAAGCTTCAGTTTGCAAAGAAGGTGTTGCTGGAGTGGGTCTAGTGGCTGGTCTTTTAATTGGGTCAGTCCCAGGAACTGCTGTAGGGGGCCGAGGTGTCAGAACTGAGAGAGGTGGCCGAGTAACTACATTACCAATGGTATTAGTTTTATCTTCGACTTGGGTAACTTCTGGTAAATTATTTCCAGGTAAGTTCGGAATTAGTGGCTTGTCCTTCCCAGGTGAGATTGGAATCAAGAGCGTATTTTCTAGATCTTGCACCGGCGGCAATGTTGACAAGCCAGAAGGCGGTAATGTCGTTTGTGACAGAGGTCCTAAAAATCCTGTGAGAATCTGCACACCCTGGGATGGAGGAATTGGCACTCTCTGAGACGGCGATTGTGTTGGCACAGCAGAAGGCGGACGTGCACCTTCGACTGGAACAAGAGGAGACAGTGGAACTCCCTCTGTTGGGAAAGCAGAAGGTAACTGTATACCCTGTGTTGAAGCAATAGAGGGTAGTTGTTTACTTTGTACTGGTACAGCAGGAGACTGGTTTTGTGCTGGAACAAGAGAAGGTAGTTGTATCCCCTGTGAAGAAACAGTAGGTGATTGTATGCCCTTCGTTGGATGCCTAAATGTTTGTGGTGTAAATTGTGTTGAAACAGCTGATGGTCGTTGCCCAACTGGAACAACTGAAGGGAGTTGTACACCCTGTGTTGAAACAAGAGAAACCTGAGCTGATGGCAGCTGTACACCCTGTGTTGTTACTGCTGTGTTGCACAGCTGGCAGCTGTACACCCTGTTGGTACAGCTGAAGGCAACTGTACACCCTGTGTTGGGTAACACCCTGTGTTGGCACAGCTGATGGCAGCTGTACACCCTGTTGGTAAGCTGAAGGCAACTGTACACCCTTTGTTGGTACAGCTGAAGGCAACTGTACACCCTGTGTTGGCACAGCTGATGGCAGCTGAACACCCTGTATTGGTACAGCTGAAGGCAACTGTGTTGGCACAGCTGAAGGGAACTGTACACCCTGTGTTGGTACAGCTGAAGGCAACTGTACACCCCTGTGTTGCACAGCTGTGTTGTTGCACAGCTGGCAGCTGTACACCCAGTGTTGGTACAGCTGAAGGCAACTGTACACCCTGTGTTGGCACAGCTGATGGCAGCTGTACACCCAGTGTTGGTACAACTGAAGGCAGCTGTACACCCAGTGTTGGTACAGCTGAAGGCAGCTGTACACCCTGTGTTGGCACAGCTGACGGCAGCTGTACACCCTGTGTTGGTATGAAGGCAGCTGTGTGTTGGTATAGCTGACGGCAACTGTATACCCTGTGTTGGTACAGCTGATGGCAGCTGTACACGTTGGTACCCTGTACACCCTGTGTTGGTACAGCTGACGGCAGCTGTACACCCTGTGTTGACACAGGTGAAGGCAGCTGTACACCCTGTGTTGGTACAGCTGACGGCAGCTGTACACCTAGCGGCAGCTGTACACCCTGTGCTGTACACCTTGTGTTGGAACAGCTGAAGGAAGCTGTACACCCTGTGTTGGTATGAAGCAGTACACCCTGTGTTGGCACAGCTGAAGGCAGCTGTACACCCTGTGTTGGTACAGCTGACGGCAGCTGTACACTCTGTGTTGGTGCAGCTGCAGGCAGCAGTACACCCTGTATTGGAACAACTGAAGGTAGTCGGGCAGGTATTGCAGAAGGCAGCTGTACACCCTGTGTTGGAACAGCTGACGGCAGCTGTACACCCTGTGTTGGTACAGCTGAAGGCAGCTGTACACCCTGTATTGGAACAACTGAAGGTAGTCGTGCGGGTATTGCAGAAGGCAGCTGTACACCCTGTGTTGGTATAACTAATGGTCGTTGTCCACCTTGCGTTGGAACAGCCGGAGGCAGCTGTCCATTCTGTGTTTGAACAGATGAAGGTTGCTGGACATTTTGTGGTGGAAAACCTAACGTTAATTGTGCATTTTGCGTTGTGAGAGTTGAAGGCTGCTGTAGTCCCTGTGTGCCATTAGCTATAGATAACGGTATGCCTTGTGTTGGAACAGCAGAAAGCTGCGGGATTCCCTGTGTTGGAATAGCTGAAGGCAGTCGTGCATTCTGAGATGGAACATTCAGTGAAGGAATTGTTGCAGGTCTCTGTACGTCTTGTGTTGGCACAATGGAAGATAATGGAATCCCCTGTGTCGGAATAGCTGGTGGAAGTGGTGCGTTCTGTGTTGGAAAAGCAGCAGGCAGTTGTACAGCCTGTGTTGGAACAGCTGATGGCTTTGAAACATTTGGCGTTGGGTTCCCAGATATGAGTTCATTCTGCACTGAAATGGCAGGTATAGATGGTACGTTATTTAAGGCGATTTCAGGTAGTTCCGGTATGTTTTGCTCTGGAAGTGTGGGTGTTGCTGGAACTGTGTGTGGTTTGGCTGATTCACTCTCTTTGGGTGAGTTTTGTGGCTGGATTGGGGAAGCTATTGGTGCATTCTTTACCGGCACTACAGAACCTAAAGCTTCACGAAGTGCTCCAGATTCCTCAAAAGCGAGTAAGGTATTTTGTGCTGGTCCTGTAGACGCCACTGGTACGGCTTGATCTGATGTTCCAGGAGATTGTAAAGCATCGGTCGCTTGGCTCACTGTTGGCAAAGAGTCATTTGGGAGAGGAACTTGTACTGGAGAGGCAAAGGTTGATGGAGGTAAAGGAGGTATATTTTGTTGCGGGTTTACAGTAAGGATTGGATTGTTTTGTACTGGAACTGCAGGGGCTGTTTCACTTTGCACTGGGGGAGAGTTACCTTGTACTTGGATTGCAGAAGGTACAACTTGGGTTTGGAATGAAGTGTCATTATTATTTTGATTAGTTGTCAATGAATTTACTGCTGATTGGCTTATCCCACTGACTGACTCATCATCTGCTTTGTCATCTTCGTTCGTTTGAGGAGTAGGCGGAGTAGATGTCTCAAATGAAATAGATGGTGGTGTCTGAATTTCTATACTGTTCGTAACACCAACTGGAGGATTCGGCGAAGGACTTATTTCCAATACTGTGTCATCCTGGAACCGAATCCTAGGGGTGGTTACAACAGGGATTTGTGGGGATGACTGAAACCCGGGTACGAATGTTGTTGGAGTTGGATTATAGCCAAATGGTAGGATTCCCTGCTGTTGAAAACCAAGAGGATTAAATGGAAAGCCTTGAGTTTGGTTTCCGTTCACACCCTGCGCTGGGAATCCTGTAGGAAAAGGAATATTCTGGGGAAAGAATTGTTGTGGGAAGCCAGCACCAGTTTGTGATCCACGAGTAGGCGATGTGGGTGAGATAGGGTAAGCCCAGGGATTGAAAAGGGGTCCTGTTGGTGGCAGGGACGGTCGACCAGAAGTTGCTGCCTGGATTCCACCTTGCAGCTGTGGAGGGACAGAGTTTGGATTTCCTGGAAATTGTCCAGTCGAACCAATATTATAATCCGTATCATAATCATAGAAGTAGTCGTAGTCTGGTGTTTGTGCTCTATAGAGAGCATTGATATAATCGAGAAAACCTGGATCATAGAAATCTGAAAACTGCGAATTTGCTTGTAACTGTGGTAGATTCTGTTGGGATGGCTGAGGCTGGCTATTGACAGGAGTAGATGCAGGGATTCCTGTGTCTACATTCTGTGTAACAGGTTCTGCAGGTATTCCCAAATTTTGCTGGACATTGCTACCAACTGCTTCCACTGGTGCTTCACTCGTTCGCTGTGGTTCAAAGGCTAAAACTGCTTCATTAAAGGCACTTGGATCTACATTTTTTAGCGCTTCGAAAATTTGCTGGTTCCCATTCGGAAAACCTGGCTCGTCAAGTATAGAATAGTAAGGTAGTCTTAAACCTTCATATAAACTTGCATCAATATCTCTCAGGTCTGTTGGTGTTGGCTGCGGCTGTACAAATCCATTGCCATTGGGTTTGGCGGCTGACACGTCCCTCTCACTCCCCTCGAACTGGAATACTTCATCAACGTCCTGGGGGAAGAAAGTTATTCCTGGTTTCTCTGCTGAAGATAAAAGGGGCGACGAATCCTCATGACTGCGAATGGGTATTTCTGCATTACCTAAAGTACTCCCTTGGTTTTCCTCACTGGATGATGCTTTGGGACGATCTTCTGTAGATGTTTCTGTGTCCAGACCTTCCTCCGGTCTTTTCTCTCCGCTTTGCTCTCTGCTCCCAGAGTGTTCTTCTGCGGATGCTTCGGGAAGAGACAAGCTTGCCGAATCTTCAGTGTCCCTCTGTTTTGATTCCTCTAGTTGCTGTCTGCTTTGTTCGATCTCGAAAAATATTTTCGAGTTCCACTGCTCTCTCTTAGGTTGGAACAAAGGCGTCGTAACATCCAATGGGACTTCTGGTTTAGTATGATTAGACTTTTCATTACTGGGAGGTTTATTCGTATCAGAAGATGCTTGATTTTCAGAGGTTTCTGGAATCGATGTTGGTGTCTGTGGTGTTGGACGCGGGAGTGGTTCCCTTACGTTGACAGGCTGCCTTGGTTTAATCCTTCTTGGAGGGAAGGGAAGAGGTCGTTCAGGAGGAGCAAATATTGTACCTGGGAGGACAGGGTGAGGATTATATGATGTTCGACGGGGAGGGATCTTTGAAGGATCCACTGGTCGCCTCAACTGGTCATAGAACCTCTGCTGGTCGTAGAACCGGTAAGGATCAATTGCAGGATACCCATCTGGGCCTGGAAATGGATAAAAGGCCTGTCCGTGAGGGTTAAAGAAACGCGGGGAGGTCGGAGGAATGACATTTTGAGGATATTGGTTGGGCGGGAAATGAGGACCCTGCGGCACGCCCTCTAAGCCACCAGAAGGGAGAGAAGGATGAGGGGATGAGCCGGTTATAGGAGAAGGAAAGGAAAGTGTCGGAGTACTTAGACCGTCACCTCCCGACTCGACCTGACTTTCCTGCGCAATCTGGTCAGGGTGAGGCAGCTCGGGCACTTCAGCTGGGTCGTCCGTCGCCACCGAGTTTCCAACGGAGGAAGTGGCATCCACCTGTGCTGAAGGAACCGAGGGAACTACGGAGGCGAGTCCTTCGACATCCTTAGGAGCAGGTAGGACACGCACGCCTAGGTCTTCCGGACTTGCTAGTGTGTGAAGCGTTAAAGACTCTTGCGCCAGTTGGTCTGGATATGCTGGGTCCTCGACTTGACTTGCCGGGGTTTCAAGGTCACTGCTAGTAGCTGCTGTCAGGACTGCGAGTGACAGCAGGACAGAAAGCGCTGGTAGCATCTACGGAGAAAAAAAGAAAAGAAAAAAAACTTTAGCATTTACCTCAGCATTAATATTTACCTGAGAATAATATAAAGTCGTTGTGGTTTGCTCTTTCCAAAGGTTATTATCACAGTCAGCTGCTCAGGATGTGAACAATATTTATGTAACATCATGCCTTCTGCTGAATAGATTTACATCAGTAAACTTTTAGCAGTAATAAGAAATGCTTTAAGTGAAACACTTTCTTTTTGAATATTCACTTTTGAAATGTTTGTTTCTGATTTGTTAATTGATATTCAAATTTTGCAGTTAAATAAACATTGAAAATAGCATCATATCAGGAACAATAGCGTCTTTTAAGTTTATGTCGAATGCCTTTGCAAATAAAGGATATTTTTAAGTAATCAGACGGGAATATTAATGCTATTATATACACACAAATATATGTGTGTACATTTATATGTATATATATATATATATATAGATATATACATATATGTACACACATATATATGTATATATATAGAGAGAAAGAGATATAGATGCATGTATATATATAATATATATATATATATATATATATATATATAATATATATATATATATATATATATATATATATATATATATATATATATATATATGCATATATACATATATATATATATATATATATGTATGCATGTTATGTATATATATATATATATATATGTGTGTGTATATATGTATGTGTGTGTGTGTGTGTATGTATATATACATGTGTATATATCTATATTTATATATATGTATGTATATGTGCATATATATGTACATATGTATATACATATGTATGCACGCACATTTGATTTGCCGAAAATATTATTCTCTGTAAATCTAAAAAAGATCTAATTGCAAAGGTCTTTATAAAAAAAAAATAGATACTCACTTCACTTCAAAAGACAACCCTTACTTAAGCCAAACAATAAAACTTAACAAGCGTAAAAAGTACCAACCAAACAAATGAACGCGAAACCAGTGCAAAAAAAAAAAAAAAAAAAAAAGATTAACCATAGTCACACGGCAAGTAAAAACTTTTAGCCCAGCGCCATCTGTTCTTAACCCAGCGCGCGCCTTCTAACCAACATCTGTGTATTAAACTCTCACTTTCTCTCTCTTTGGCGGGGGAAATGCTGTCTCCTGCCACGAATAAGTAGCAAGGAAGTTCGTTATTTTTTTCGCAATGCCGTAATTTATGAAACGGGCCAAGAATTTCCTGGAAGATGATCTTTCGTAATTTGTGAAA